TCGTGGAATTCTACCTCTCAGTCCAACATCTGTTAATCTTCTCCTGATTGTTCTTGAACTGACAGAAACACCAGCATCATTCAGATCACTTCTGATGGCCGCTGATGACATTTTTCTATCTTGGAGACATAATTTTTTTATTCTTCTGTCATCAATAGATGCGGTGCACCTTTTTCGGCCTTTTCCTTCTTTGTTTTTTTATTGAATTTGTCTCCTGATATCGTAAACAAAACTTTCGGACTCCAGATGTAGTCACTGAACCACCCACCTGTCTTGCAATTTCAGCATAGGAAAGACCACTTTCTCGTAACATAATAATATTACATCTCTTTCTAGGTGTCCAATCTACTCTTTTATTTGATGTCATTGCTTCTTGACTAAATATTAAAAATTTTTACAAAAATTCCTACTTGGAATTGCAGTGTATAAGAAACAGGTCCTCCTTCCACAGAACAAAGCAAAATAATGAAGTGTTTCAAGTGTAAACATGATGTCAGCTTCTACTGGCAGTTACTAACATTTGATTGGTTCTCAGAACAAGAACAGTGATTGGCCAGGAAAGCTAAACATTACAAACCACTTCATAACTGTGTTTTTTATTTATATTAAAGTACATATAACTTTTTTGTATTGCAAATAATTGAATTTTGTGTTTTGTATTGAATTCAGTAATAAATTCTCTTTAAAATGATATATACAAGTTTGCATTTTGCGAAACGGAACATTTTCTATAAGCATATAAAGTTCAAAAACATAAAAATTTCCAAAAGTGTCCACAATTTTGGCCACCACTGTACATATTTAATAAAATAACATAACCTTAAATTATTATTTTTTTAATGGCAGGTACTAGTGTTTTTAGGCTTTGGCCACTACAAAGGCCAGAAACAGCGGTAATTTTATTATGGAAGCACCTAACATGTGGCCCCCGTTACCTCCCATGAAGGGACAGACAATTTACATCCATGCCTTCTCCAGTATTCAAACTGGAGCCTTTCAGCATGGCAGTCAATAATTACTTTCCTCGCTGGGTGGCCTTAAATTATAACTAAACAAACAAAATGATAAAGTACAATTTACTTATTGGGACTTGGCTTTGGTGATTTCAAGAACATGTTAGTAATTATAGGGATTTGTGTTTCTGCTTTGTAGAAATGCCCTGTCATGCTATGGGGATGTACAGTGATCCGAGTTGCTTGCTCGGTCATATTTAATCTTGGTATAGAGCTCTTGGGTTCTGAGTTCATTGTTCATCAGTTTTCAAGTTCATTAATCAGTTCATAGTTTGCTGAGCCCATATTTGAACCCATTTGATTATTGAAGTATGTAAGTTCTACTCTTGTTGCTTGCTAGGCGATGTCTTACTGGTTTGTGGTATCAGAAGAAATTTGAGAAATTTCTGTTTCGTATGAGTAAATTTATCTACTATTATTTTTTCTTATGGTTGAAGTTGCACTGTACGATTAGAAGACGTTTGAATGCTGGGGTGATTGGAGACGGATGTCGTCAGTTAAGTACTGAGTGAGGACACTTGCTCTTGAGCTGACTTTTGGGTAAAAGGCATAGACTCTGCGTCCTGTGATGGCATTTTGCCATTCCTGCTGCCAGACATTGTGTATTGTATTATTAATAATATTATGATGATGAAATTTTGGGAGTTTGACCAATAAGGGCGTACCTTCTTGGTTTTGGGCATACCTTCTTCTTCTTGAATTTTGGAATCATCAGTATAAGCAATTATTGCATTCCATGGGGTGAGAATGTTACTTTTGATGAATTTAATTTTGCCATGAGGTTCGGCTGGATGTCTACAATAAGATGGAGGATGGTATTCATATTATTCTGCAGTAAAAATCTGGGCCTGAAATGAGATGTTGCTTTTGAGTTGTAAGACTGTGGAGTAAATAGCTTCATGAATTGCTTGTAGGTGAAGAGAAGTGGTTCCAGCAAGGATATTTAATGCTGCATTTGATGTTGTGTGGCAGCTGAAAATGATGCACAGGTTGAATTGCCTCTGAACGGAGTTAAGATTTCCTTTTCCCTTTTGGTCATAGGAAGGTGCATATGGCAGCTCTGTATGTTACCATATTCACTATCACCACCAGGAACAAGATTTTGGTAAAATGTGGGTTGAGGCCCCAGTTGTACCTGTGGAATCTTCTGATGCCGATTTGGTGCATTCTATTTTTGATTTCCTTAAGACAGTTAATGTAATTCTGTTTGTGATCGAAGTGAATTCCAAAGTATTTTATGGTTTTGACATTCTTGATGCTGTCTCCCTTGATCTTGAATGATAATTGCTGAGAAAATTCTTCAAAAAATTATTTAGACATACAAGTTGTTGAGAACTTAGACAATTGAAAGCCATCAAAGTGAGTCAAAGGCATTTTTCAGGTCTAGGCTAAAGATTATACAGCAGTGTGCATAATTTTTTTTTGACTCGTTTTGGGATTTGCTTGAATAGTATTGATTGTTGAAGTCTGCAGTCAGAATTCGAACTGGTGTTTGTCAACTTTGTCATTATGATGAAGGTGAAATCTGACTCTTCCTGTTATGCCCTGTTCTAGAACTTTTTCAATTGCTAGCAGAAGGTCAATGGCCTGTATGATACAGGACTATCCAGAGATATCAGTTTTTCTTGAGGAACAGGATGACTTTTCCATTTTAAAATAGTGGGGAACACATGGAGTTGAATGCATTAGTTGCAGAGTTTAGAAATGATGTTCTCGTTAGTGGAGTGTATTAGCTTAACTATTTTGTTGCAAATTCCCCCTGGTCCCTGAACGTTGTTCTTATTTAGTTTTGTAATAATATGTGTAATTTCTTCCTGGCCGAATGGAGGGTTGTTGTTGGTGGCTGGGGGACCATTGTTTCAGAGAGATTTCTGTTCATTGTCATCCTCTTCAGGGTTCTCTTCATTGTCATCCTCTTCAGGGTCTTTTAGTAGAACTCCATTGAGCATGGAGTTGAGGGTCGATCCTGTTAAATTGTCTGTCGTTGTGGTGCTTGGGTTGTTCATGAGGAGGTGCAGCTGAGTAGGCTTGAAGATTTTTGTTTATTGCCAACTTGTAGAATGGACCGTGAGTACTTTTATATCGGCACAGTATTAGTGGCATGATTTGACTTTGTCTTCCAGGATTTCCTTTTTATAATGTGTTTTTCGATGCTGATATCTTTGAAGGAGTTCTTGGCGATTCTCCTCACTTGCTGCGACTTGCTTGTGTCTTGTTCTTTTCCTGTCTAATATTGGATGCCACCCAGTTAATTTTGGAGATATTTGGGGCAGATTTTTCTTTGAATGAGTACTGGCATATTATTTGTTCAATATAAATTATGTTCTCTGTTTGTCATAGTTGGAGTTGCTGCTTCCTGTGAACTGTAATATGGTTTCAGAATCCTGCACTAGGCAGTCTTTACATTTTTTAGTTCTATATTTGTTAATTTTGTAGGGAGTTAGACTGGAATTGGTGATTGTTTTGTAGATTTTATAAGATATATATTTATATCAGATTCCATGTGATCATCATGTATGATTCTCTCCTGAAGTGCACTGACAAGTTGATGTGTGATAACCCATTTGTTGATGACTGAAATTGAAATTGAATTGCATTTTTCATTGGGGATAATAGTTGCTGCATCTGAGGTCAGGTGTTTTTAGAAAATTTTCTAGTTGAGAGGTGTGTGTCATATTTGCTTGTCTAGACAGTATGGTTCTTGAATGCCGATGAAGTATGTTGGATGTTCAGAGATCTGTTGTACGAGTTGAACTCTTGCAGTTTTGAAGTGTCAAGGCAATTCTCCAAATGAACCTTTTGGAATTCATTTGGAAGAATGTTATTTGGTCTATGCTTTTCTCCAAGGTGGGTGTTTATCAGAATGATGTTATTGTGGTTGTGAGGATTACTCATGGTAGGTGGTTCTTGCTTTATCTTTCAAAGTTTCTTGTTGATATGTAGAGGCATTTGACCATATCTTTCGGCACAACAATCGAATTACTGACATAGTTCCTACTCCATTCCTATTGATGGTATGGAAAAAAATGTTATGAGCCCCACTTCTTTTCCGTTAGCCTAACATTTCAACTTGCATCACTATAGCTCCAACAGTGTTTATTGCAACAACAACCTTAATAATGTTGGAATAATTAAGATACAATAACACGCTGAACAATATTAATTTAGAAGTCAAACAACAAAAATCAGCGTAGTGTTATATTTTCAAATTTTCACAGGACTATTTGCGCTTTTGCAGCTGAGAATGATAGTTTGGTAAAACTATCAAAACTAGTCCTTTGAAATTATAATGCTGATTTTTGTTGTTTGACTTCTAAATTAATGTTGGAATAGTTGCAATAAAACCAATAAAATTGCTGTAGTCAATGATATTTTCATTTAAGCTAGTTTTTATGTTGATTTGCTTTTTGCTTACTTTTACAGCCAGTGTCCAAGAAAACAACATTCGGTTTTTAATGTGCTACATTTTCAGCTGTTTTTTGTTTATTTTTACAGCCTGTGAGGATTACCCTCTCAACAAACTCTACTCCTACTTAGCAAATACATATTATAAATACAGATCACAGCCTAATAAGTAAATAATAAAAAAATATAGAATTCGCTTCTAATTAAGATATAATTTAATCAAACAAATTTCTAAAATTTTCAAGATGCTACCAAATTTTTTCAACACAATATCTCTGAACAAAAATGCAGCTATTTACATACTGTAAATTATATCCTTTATAAAATTTTCTTTATATAATATTAAAATTATTAAAAATGTCTAAAATAATATTAAAATATGCAACACAACCATTAATAACCTAATACAATTATTAAAAACATAAGTTGAAGCTCTTGTAAGTGCATACTTATATATTATACTTATAAGACCATAATTTATCTGTTATTAGAGAATGTCTGCTAAATATTCACATTTGAGTTTAACATAAAGACATGAATTTAGCAATGCAACAAGACTGAAATAGATATTTTGAAACTCACTTTAGAAGCAGCTTCACATATTTTAACCCAATCTAACTGTCCACCATGGCTGTCAGGTTTATTAACTACATTCCCACAACTGTCAAATCCTAATATGTCATTTCCTACACTAGATGTACGACCTGATTCCATTTCATGCTTATGTCGAAATAGCTTCTGACGAGCAAATCCTCTGCCGTTGTCTAACTCTCCATGAGTAAGTACACCCAATAATGTACTTTTACCAGCATCTACATTACCAATTACAGCCACTCTGAAAATAAACAAGAAATTAACATATATATTTTTATTTCTCAACATCTTTAAATTTCATACTTTTTGGATTTATTTAGAATAATCAAAGTATGAATAATCTAGTTTTTTAGTTTAACCTAAAAATTTAATCTAGTTTAATCTAGAAATTAAAAATTATGTGACCAAAATATCTGGACATTTACTTTTTAAGTGAATCTGACGACCTATGAGAAAAGTTCATCATGAATGAATTTCTATGGGAAACAGCCCAGTATTACATTATATATTGCTCATACATCCTTAATGATTGCAAAGCAATATTCTAAGAGAAAATAACCTATGATCCCCTATCAGCACATTCACATAATATAAAAAGAAAAGCTCAAAAATCCTAAAAAGTAAGTATCATCAATATCAGCTTGGTAAAAGTGTATAAAAATAACTTAAAGATTTGATCCACTCTCCTTCCCTTCCCCCAAAAAGGTTCGAATTCCATAAAGACTGTCCAAAATAGTTGCTGTGCCAGAAAATATCGATGCTGTGCACAAACTGATAAAAGCAAGAGCATCATGTGACATACTGTGAGATTGAGGCATCTTTGGGCATTAGTATGAAAGCATCACCTGAACCAGATATTAACTGAACATTTGGCTGTAAAAAAGATTTGTTCATGTTGGATCCCGCATAATCTGACAAATACTCAAAAGAAAGCTTGTGTTGAATGGTGCAAGGAAATGTTGGAAAAATAAGTTCAAGGTACATCAAAGGCTGTGTATATAACATCTACAGAGGTGACAAATCATGGATCTATGCATGTGAGCCTGAAACAAAACAACAGTCGACTGTATGGGTCTTCCAAGATGAACCAAATGTAACAAAAGTTGTTTGCAGAGGAAGAGCATTGAAGTAAATGGTTGCTTGTTTCTTTGGTCGTCGCTTAGCTGCTGGTGGGCCAGGCAGTTGATATGAGTTGGTCTTGTTAAGTTTAACACTGGTAGTTCGGTCCAAGGTTCGAATCCCGCGAACAGGCTGGTTGCATGGACGTTTCATGGTTTTCCCCATGTGTAATGTGTATACAGGCCAGTATCCCTAAGAAAGTCCTCTAAAAAAGCATCCCTCACCTAAGGCAGATAGCCCCTGAGGCTTTGCCACAATCACATAAATCAATCCATATCAACTGGCTATTGATTGTCTAGATTTTTGCATTTTCAATCATCAAAGGTAAGACTTTTTTTAGCAAGAGATTTCAACTTTCCTTAAGCTCATTAATTTAGAACTCTTAATATATCCAAAAATATTACAAGAAATATTATCTATAATTAGTTAACTTGTATTAGAATATTTATACAGAAATTGTACAACAACAGTATGAAATTATTTTATTTTCACGAACTTAGACTACTAATTAAGTTCAACAGGCATTTATTAAAGAACAGTTTATAAAAGCTGGAAACAGTATAGAAACTATGAATGCTTCATCACATAATGCATCAATTCTTAAACCTAACAGGGGGAGGAGATGAATGGGTAAGACAGATTCATACTATGTACAAAATGCAAATTTTAAAATTTTTCTGTAAATTTGCCTTATTAATTTTATTACATTTTGGCTCTTCCTTTGATTCACAAACTTTGACTACTAATCAAGTTCTACAGGCATTTATTAAAGAACAGTTTATAAAAGCAGGAAACAATCTACAAACTATGGACGTTTTATCACATAATGCAGCCCATTTTTAAACCTAACAGGAAGGTAGGAGACAAATTGGGGTAAGACAGATTCATAATATGTACAAAATGTAATTTTTTAAAAATTTTCTGTAAATGTGTCTTATTAATTTTTTTCACATTTTGACTCTTCCTTTGATTACAAAATGGCCGATCTCAAATTCTGAAAAGTCGCTTTTGTAGCCAAAAAACCCCGACAACTGGTCCTCAGTTCTAAAATTCCTTTTTTCAAGCTTTTGCCAGAATTTAATTTAATTACTTATTCCATTTGAAAATTACAGTTTTTCTTTAGTGTTTGAAACCTCTTTTGCTAACATTTCTTAGCGAGATTAAAAATCGCCAAAATTAACGGGGATTACCATTCCTAGTGACTCCTTTTTTCAACCAACTGATTGTAAAGATTTTTTTTTTTTTTTTTAATTTTTTTTATTTCAGCTCTGTTAAGTACCAATTTTCCTGGCTTATTTCATTTCTTTTTTCTTGTACATTGATGTGAAACAGACTGAATTAGATGACAGTTTAATTTAATTTACTCCATATTGTATCAATTCCAGTTTTTTTAAACCATTGTTGATAGATATTTTTATATACAGAATTTCTTTTTGGCAGTTTAAACCTTTTTTACATACTTACCGGAATTTTGATTCATTGAATATCTATTTGAAAAATTACAGTTGTTTTGTTGTTGCAGGTTAGTCATGTGCAGGTGGTGTTTTTAGTTTTCAGAGCTATAAATAATTTAAAATAGTTAATTTTGGTTCCTAGCTAATTAGAAGCAAACAGAAACATGACTGATAATGCCCCCTTCCCGGGGAAAAAAAAAAAAAAACAGTAATATTGGTGTAGGGCTTCTTCCATCTCTTAAAAAAGTTTGAATCTGATAGTGATAAAACAGCCTTTTCCAAATTGTATTTATAATTTTTTTTTGTATACTTTTATATATTTATTTGCATAGTTACTTTTTCAATTCAATTAAGGTTAACTTCTTCGAATGCACTAATTTTACTTAATTAGTTTTCATAATTTGATCAAAATTCAACTTTTATTTTCATTTTTTGCTTATTTAGTTATAATTTAATGAAATAATTTATATATATATATATATATATATATATATATATAGAGAGAGAGAGAGAGAGAGAGAGAAAGAAAATGATGCAGGCTTAGATGCTATGATATAGAAATACTTATTGTTTATGAATTTTAAGATAAAAATATGTAAATCAAATTTATAATTTAAATTAGCAATAGCCTCTTAATCACTCATTTTATTTTGGGTACTTCTCTCTATTCTAAAAGAAGTAATAATTTTTTCTGAACTGTGTCATTTCTAGATTAATCCATTATACCAATTTTTACATAATGATGACAACATTCTTAATTAGGATCTTAAACCAAAACCTTCTCTCTTAATAAACTTCCAAATTTGATAACTACGCACTTTGCATCTGTTACCACTAAGATCCGACCCCTGCTTCTCTTCTTTCTGCAAAGTTTTCAAAAACATAAAATGTTTGAAATAGGCATAATTAGAGTGCCAAGCTGAATTATGATTACAAATGTCAATTGAAATAACAATGAATATTTAATCTTCATCAGCTGCTAGTTTCCTTTTTATTACAGATCGAAATCTTAACAGACATGAAATGCAGTATTTCAACACATAAGCAACTCAACATTTCTACATTATTATACACACACATATATTCATATACACTCTTTTGCAAAAACATGGAAGCACCATGAAGGAGGTGGTTGTTTTTGATGAAACTGAATATGTGTATGGCTCATACACAGATAATAAAATGATTAAAAAATCAAGGATATAATACCTGTTCATGGCTCACAATCACCCATTGAGTTGGTTGAAGCGCCCCTGGCGGCAATGCATACTTGAATTCATCAAGGCAGGAGTGGTAGAGGTTCCTAATGTCATCCTGCGACACATTCTACAGGCATTCATCAGTTGCTGCTCCAGATCTGCAATATTTTGTGGTGCCTGAATCTGGAAGCCTATTATGTCCCAGAAAATCTCAATTGGTGAAAGGTCTAGTGACCTTGCTGGCCAAGGAAGAGTATGAACTGTACGGACACAGTCCAAAGATATGTGAGCGGTATGTGGCCTGGCATTATCTTGGTTGAAAATGGCCTCAGGATGACGTGCCATGAAGGGTAATGCAACCGACCACAGGATGGTATCAACATATGGTTGAGCTCTTAAAGATGTACGGAGGATGACTAAAGATGACCTGCTGTCGTAAGAAACAGTGCCCACACAATCACACCAGGAGTCTCGCTGTATGCCTTTGTAAAACAAAGACTGATTGGGATCGCTGACCCCATTCTCTAATAGACGCTAACACGGTGGTCATCTGATTCAAGAACGAAGCGGGATTCATCACTGAACACTATACAATGCCAATCCGATGGCAACCATGATGATCGGCTGCGATACCACTCCAGACGACTCCGCCAATGTTGTGGGGTCAAAGGCAAACATTTTAAAGGCCTCTCTGAGTGTAACCCTGCCCCAGACAAGCGCCGTGAGATGTTGGACGATACCACGGGAGGTATAGACGTGGATGTAGTGCTTTGGATAGTCGACAATGATACCGTTGGGGGCGGTTCGGGCCTGGCGAACAATCATCCTATCTTGCCTTGCATTTGTGCTCCTTGGGCCTTCCAGAGCCTTCATTTTGTCGGCAATTTCCTTGTAACTACCATTGCTGCAACATTTTTGCAAAGCAGTGTCTGTACGCTGCAGGTGGTGGTCTATTGCTTGATATGACCGTTCAGCTTCACACAACCCTACAAGTCGTTTAGTTGCCTGTTATGTCTTCGATATCGTCGTAATGGCATATTTAGTTGCTTCTTTACAAAATTACAATGGCAGCAACAAAAAAAGATAAAATTTCAACCTCTTATTGGTTTTATACTTTGCAAATTGCACACTAGAAATGTGCGCTATGATCGCAATTCCTGTTCATTTGTCTTAAAAGTTTGATCATTTACATGTTCGATCAAGATGTTTTTGCATACCAAATTTAGTCACGATCGCAAAAGTCCTTTTCGGTGCTTCAATTTTTTTTTTGCAAAAGAGTGTATATTGATAATGGCTTAGCTTTTGGTGAAATTCTCTCACTCTCTAGTGATCATTCCTAATACAAAAAAATTATTTCTCAAAACATCATTTCAGAGTTTGGCAGTGTCCTTTTACGATAAATTTGCATGAAAAATTAAAGTACCTTACAACTTCTGAAATATATTAAAATGATCAGAAATTGGATATAGCTTTTAAAAATTACAAAAGACATTTAAAATAATATGTAATCTATTTCAAAAGAATAACACACAATCAAAAGATTATACTATCATACATTCAATTAATGATCAACTTCCTTATGTGCGTATGTACATATACCTGACTTCAACAAAATCATTGTCTTTTGCTCTCTTACGCACCAAATACTCAGAAACATCACCCTGTTCAACTTTGTGTTTCCGTAGAAGAACACAGTCAGCTTCTAGAGTACTTGCCATACTTTCCAGTGTAGCCACAGATGCAGCCATTTCTTCTTCTGATAATCCACAACTTCCATTATCTATGTGAAAGAGATAAAATTTTTAAGAAAAAAGTTTTGATCAATTACTTCTTTGAGCGTGCACACACACAAAAAGGATGGACATGGATATGCACATATGAATATCAAGAATTAAAGATGATGAATATTAAATATTAATTCCCTGAGCAGCACAACTGTTTTTATCTGTTCATAAGTTTTCTTGTTACTTGATACACATAACCTTCTTATTTAGAACGAACACTTTGTTTTCTTATTTTCTTTAGCAATCTAAATATCATGCTAATGAATAAATGGTTATAAAAACAAAGAGTAAAATAAACAATTGTTTTATCCTTACTGCTTAAATGCTTCACAACCAGCTCTGAAAAACCATAACAATCAGATAGTTAAAATTCTTTGTAATGTTCTAGATTTAGACATTTAAATAATATTTATTTATATTGAATATCACTTTCAAGATATAAATACTACATGTTAGAATACACTCCTGAAGAAAATTCTCTTTAATTAAAGTTTAAATTCTAGTGTGAAATGGTACATAAGAAAGAGAATAAATTCTGGGAGAAAATTTTCTAATATAAGAGACTTCTTCATGCTCCATACATAAGGCTTTGTAAATTGACAATAATTTAAAATCACAGAACTTTCCTGCATGAGAGTCAGAAAAAATGAAATGCAATGAATAAGAGGTACTATTCATTAGGACATCCAAATTACAGTAAAAATATTTTCAGAACTGTACATCTAAGTTCTTCAGCTCAGGCATTTCAATTCAGCAGCTGACATAAAACCTATATTATGAATTCTAATAAAAATTGCAGATCTTTTGGTATTACAAAAGCTGAACCTGAAACTAGACATAACATTATCTGGCAATTTTAAGCTATTAGGGTGCCACTTGGCACCAAACGTAAACTTTGGTAAAAACTGTAATGACGTATAAATGGCAACCCTAATGATATATACAACTTCATGAAAAGAATGGCTATTTTATTAAATCCAAAATTAATCAAAAAAAAAAAAAAAAAAAAAAAAAAAAAAAAAAAAACTACAGACAAATACAGGAATTCACAAATAAGGATCACAATAATTTCACAGTTTCATCAGCAGTAATATAAAATTTGAATTTATGGTTTTCCAAATAAAATCTTTTAAGTATGGAAAACCTTTATCTTGAAAAAATTTAATCCCATATTTTCATCAGTTGGCTATTGCTAAATCTTGAAATACTTATTGATTCTTTTTCCTAAAACACTTCAATTTAAAGGGTTGGGGAAAGAAAATGCTAAAAAAATTACAGTACAAAGTCAGTAATCCGGACGTCCATTATCCGGAATAATCTATAATCCGAACCTCAAAGCCACAAAATTTTTTTTTGTATGCTTTACGCATGCGCATAAAGAATGCACATACATTACGCCTGTATGCTTTACGCATGCGCGCGTTAAAAGAAAAGTTTAATAAAGTAAACAAATAATATTAAGCCTTTTTTTTTTGTTGTTTTTATAAAATTTGATACCCTTTAGATCATAATTGCTCTTTATTTCAGAAATTACGGTTTCATATTTTTAATTGTATAATTTCTGCATGCCATCTTACCAGATTTAAATTGATGATCTATAATCCGGAAAAAACCCTAATCCATAATCGCCGAAGTCCCGACGAGTCCGGATTACGGATTTTGTACTGTATAAAATTAAAGTATATTTTTCTCTCAGGTTAAATGAACTAACTGGTTAACCAAATATAACTCTTTAGCCCATTATGGTGACTGGCATTTTGTTAACCCAAACTGACTTTATTGTATCAAATACTAATTAACATGCACATTTATTTCCTTTTTTCTAACCTAAATGTGTAAGTTTTGAGTTGCAAGGGAGGGGGAGGAATATCTTTCTAGTTACAACAACAGTTCAAGGAACTTTCACACTATGCTGAAATTTTAATCTACTCCTCTTCAAAATATATCTGAAGAATCATCAATCTGTATGCAAAATTTATTTACACAAAAATATTCTGATTAAATTTAAATGATGTCAGAACTTTAGCCTTCTATTTCAAATTATAGAATAATGGTTAAAAAAATTTTCAATAATAACTAACAAAAAAGTTATGAATACCTTAGCCTCCCCTTTTTTTTTAACGATCTTGCTCAGCTACTCTCATAAGAATGGTTTAACTCCTAACTGTTTATACAACATATATATATATTTAAATAATATTTTTAACAAATATATCTATTTTTAAAACTATAATCATTATTTTAAATTAAATTTAAAATAATTAATATTTTAAGTTCACATATTTCAGACATTAAAAATTACATACTGCTGCATGCTAAGATGATTATAATTTAAAAAAAATCTCAAATCACTACAGGTATACGACACCAGGAAGAGATAGACAGTAGCCATTAATTCACCACCTGCTTGAAGAAACACTGCCCTGAACAAACATTACCTGTTTAGACTACTCAATATCAGACAGTGAATTTATTTACTCAGCCACTGTCTTTATAGGTCAAAAGAAAAGAAAATTATTTTGTTGAATGAAATAGTAAGTGCTGATATAAGTATGGATTCCACACAACAGGAAGTAAAATATGAAGAATACGTAGATATACTAACAGCAAAAAAATGAGGTGCCATTTATATGTATGTGTCTGATTATGTGCATGTATTTAACATATGTATTTAATACATATATACATATTAAATATATACTTTTAATAATATATACTTTTAATAATAAGCATTAAATATATACGTTTAATATGTATATATAATTTAATTATATGTGTGTGTACACATGATTATACACACACACACATACATATATGTCAGGCCTACAAATATCATGAACAATCCTTGAGATTATATGTACATCTTTACATTTACTATTCTTTTTACATTAGTTATCTTTCATTTGTAACATTTCTTTCTAAAATGCTTTGTTTTTGACATATTTTACAATATCAACTTAAATGGCCTCTCAATATATAAATGGATCTGAGAAACAATAATAGAAAGTAAATAAGATACTTAGCACAATACAGATATATTAACTAGGAAAATATGCTTTCAATTTAATAGGGTATATATATATATATATATTCCTAGGCTTCTCTCTCCCTCTTTTTTTTTTTTTTTTTAAATCTGCATTATTAAAACATCTTAGCTACAATACAAATAAAACAGTTCACACTACAATAAACAAAGAATACAAAAATTTTACAAAATTGCAGTCGATGAATGCAATGTAATAGATTTAAAGCTCAGATAACAGCATACCCATATTGCTTTTAGAAAAAAGCAACAATAAATCTACTGAAAAAAAAAAAATATATAAAAATAATCTATCCATTTAAAATGAATTTTACTTTTACATAAAGTAGAAAAATTTAGGATTAATGGGAAAAAAATATGACAAAAAAAAAAAAAAAAAAAAAAAAAACAACACCACCATCGATACAGTTTAATTTATCTAGAATTTTGCATAATAAGGCAAAAAAACTACATTTCCTTCACTTGTATTTCCTAAACTCATTAAATGTTGAGTGAAATTCCTGTAAGATAAATTTTTATAGAAAGCAAATTTAGTTCACTGCTACCCATATTTAACTGAAGAAAGTTAAAAATTGAAATATGTAGATGATTAAAATAAAGCACTTATTGCTTTTCCCCCCATTTAAAATAAAATTTATATTACAATTTCTTTTAATGGAAAAATTGTACACATCTTTATATTTAATGCATTACTTTATCAAATGCAGTAAAAGTTTGTTAATCCAACAAGTCTGGGTCTTGGATAATGTTGGATTATTAAATATTTCAAATTATTGGATTTACCAAGATAATATACAATAAAAATAATATTATAAACAAAATGTAACATAGTATATGCATGTAAAACTTTAAATAAAGCTCTACATACAGTAACCCTACAAAAATATTTAATGACTACAAAAAAAAAAAAAAAAAAAAAAAAAAAAAACAGAATATGCATTATTTATAATTCTTAATTTATATTTTGGAATCTACTGGATAATATTATTACATGAAGACTATCTTAAAAATTTAAGTTTATTTATTTATTTATTTATTTTGTTTGTTTGTTTCTGAAAGACTGCAGATTTTGCTGTATCATGTTAACAAAATATGATATTTATAGAACTTATGCATGACATCAGTATACATTTAGATTTTTTATCAGATTCAATTTAACGATTACTTCTTAAACATTTTATTTGAAGAAATTTTTAAATTGTCATAAAGTCTTCACTAAAAAATTTACTTTGCATTTAAAAATCTAACTTGCACTTATTTGAATGTTAACTGAAATGACAGTGAGAAAAAAATTGATAAATATAGCCTTATAATTTTTAAGGACCCTTAACCGTACCTCCAGTTCCAATATTATAAATGACTTCTCCATGTCCATTTTCTAATCGACCTGCTAGCCTCTGAATAAGTGCATCAAACTGCTCAGCAGTTGGACTCACTAAAGCTGTCTATAGACAAAGACATAAAATTAATAACAGTAAATCAAATAACTTTTAAAACAATTATATTTAAAAAAAATTTTTAAGTTAGTAAGTTTAAATAACATTTTTCTATCATAAATTTTACTTTTTCTATTCTATTCTCCAATGCATTCATCGTTATCTAAGAAAATAACAACTAATCAGATTGCAATAAGTCATAGAAAGTTTTAATGAATTTTCATGCTTTATTAGTCATCAAATGAATTTAACATTATCGCCTTATATTTATACACTGCATAAGCTAGGTCTTACATAATGTACAAATGCATGGGTTATTCATACCTATTTCCCATCTCTGTCTCCAGAATGAGTTACAGCTTTAAACTGTTAAAAAGAAGAAAATCTATAGCTTTATTTTTAAATCTGAAACTAGGTTGCAATGGAAATACCAATCAAAAGGCACCTCATACACATGATCAAGATGCATTATCCCCAGAAAAGCACAATTTTAAATTTCATGAAAGTGGTGTAAACTGAAGGCCAACCAAGTTTGGAAAGACCATATAATTATCAGTAATACAGTAAGCATATCCAGCATATCTTAGGACATCATATGACATTCTCTGTATACTGTGTATGTGACCATTTAACCAAAGAACATGAATGGGTTCCATTCAGATACTTAGTTGAGATGTCAGACAGAGCTTTATTCAAGACTAATGCTATGATGGAAATTTTTGCTATTCTGTGAAAAAGTAAGTAAAGAAGCTTATCAACTTGGGTTATACAGCTGATTCACCTTTCATAGAATAAAAATTGTTTATCCTTTTCATTTTGTTTTGTTTGAGTATAAATGCTATCTAAGTTCTGGTCTCTAAATGGGAGTTTTGCATTCTTTAGGTCTTTTACAAGATATAGGATATTAATTTAGAAATCAAACAACAAAAATCAGCGTTATATTTGAAAATTTTCACAGGACTAGTTTCGATGGTTTTTATCGAACCATCATCCTCAGCTGCCAAAGTGCAAATGAACGAGATAAGATATAGTGAAAAAATCAGATAAGAAAGGCTGGACAGGAGTAAAGCTATTGGCACCATCTACTGATGAAGCAAGATAACTGAAACATAATTTCCTTAAAGGCTGAAGGTAAAGATGGACTGGAATTAGGGTCATTAACTAGAACAGAAAGATTTTTTTAAATGTAAAACATCTCTAGAAAATCTAATTCACCAATGGAAGATGTTTTTTGCATAATTTTAGCTGCAAGAAAAAAAAAAAAAAAAAAAAAAAAAACATTAAGTCCTAGTTAACGACTCCAATTCCAAACCATCTTTATCTTTAAGAAATTAGTTTTCTTGTTTCATTAATAGATAGCACCAGTAGCTCCTGTCCTGTTAACTCCTGTCCAGTTTTTCTTATTATTTTACTAAATCTTATCTTGTTCGAAGCCTCGGTAGTACAGTAGGCAATGCGTCAATCTCATAATCTTATCTTGTTCATTTGCGCTTTGGCAGCTGAGGCTGATGGTTCGATAAAACCATTGAAACAAGTCCTGTGAAAATTTGGAAACACAATGCTGATTTTTGCTGTTTGCTGTTTGACGGTGTGTTATTTTAACCTAAAATATAGGATATTCTTTATAAATGTCACTGAATCTTTATTTTGCAACCACCATATATATCTTGGGTAAAAGTTAATGGAAAATTTGCCAAAATTTTTTGTTATTCATTTTTATACAACTATAAAATTACTGTTTTTATATTTTTATGGATAAAGTAATTATTCACAAAGATAAATGTACTAAGTAATTAATTATATAAAATTATCCAGGTAAAATGTATTACAGTACAAAGTCTTTAATCCGGACGTCCATAATCCGGAATGATCTATAATCCGGACCTCAAAGCTACAAACTTTCTGCGCATACATCAATGCATAATGCGTTCACGCATGCGCATAATAACTTTATGCATGCGCATAATGCATTTAATGTATAACGGACGGTATAAGCTAGGCTAAAATTATCTATTTCAGTTAATGTTGCAGATTGCGTTGTTCCTTAATCTTCTAATTGGATCCGGCTTATTATTTTTTTCAGATTGTTAGAGCAATTTTATAAGAAGTAAGCTTGAACTTTTCATTATGTGAAAAAGAGTTTCCGATTCTGGAGCTGACAAAGGATCTACAAAGCGAAAGCACGTTTTGATGTCCTTCAAATAAAAAGTAGAATTGCTGTAAAAAATGGATAAAGGCATGAAGAAAGTGACAGAGAGGTTAGTCAAAACAAAAAAATTTCGATGGACAAGTTAGTCGGTATTCTCAGCACTTACAGGACTTGAACAGCGGAACTTTGTAACTGAACAAATTATGTCTGTTCATAGAATTATAGAGAAAGTATTAGCACATAAAACGAAGCAACTTAAACAACTTACATTGAAAGAAATATTTAATAAAGTAAAAAAATATATATTCAGCTTTTTTTTTGGTAAATTTTGATACCCTTTAGATCATAATTGCTCTTTATTTTATAAATTACGGTTTCATATTTTTAATTTTATAATTTCTGCATGCCATCTCACCAGATTTAAATTTATGAAGTATAATCTGGAAAAACCCCTAATTCAGAATCGTCAAAGTCAAGATGAGTTCGGATGAAAGACTTTGTACTGTATTAACATAATAACTGTAAATAAAAATTAACATGAATTTTTCCAACTAAATTTACTTCTGTAAACACTTGTTGAACACAGGGTTTACATTACATTGTGCATATGGCAAAATCACGTTCTGCAAAGTTAACTTTCTATGGAAAAAAAAAAAAAAGGTTAGATATAATTCAGATTGAGGAAGCCTATATAATTTATAGAAAGCTAAATATTATTGTAATTAAAAGGAAAAAATAAAGCAAATGTTATTGAAAGGATTTCTATTATTGTTAATTAATCAATTCTTTTTCTGGATGATGCATTAACATGTATGAATAAAGGCAGATGAAGAGCTTACATGTTTTTTCCACAATGTTGCATCTAACATGCTTGACATATACCCTGCACAGAATTGCAAAAAAGTCTATGAAATTTTTGCGAACACAAACTCATTTCTTTCTTGCACTGAGCGCTACAATGAGATTGCAATGGTATACTAATCTCTTGAAGTCCCAATTCTAAGGAGATGGGGAACAGGGTTAAATTCAGCTTGTTACTATGGTCTGCATTTTGATAAAATCGACTATATCATAATAAATGTACTTTTATATGCATCTTCATAACATACGAAATAAAATGTTTTTTAGATTTCTGTTTATCTACATACCTAGTTAGAACTGCCTTGTTTTAGGCGCATTTTTGATTATAGACATAAGTCAGCCCACATAAATGCATACCACACCCAAGGATATATATGTTTCTTACTTAACTGTCATCTCTGAACACTAAAAATTTAAATATCGGTTACAAAGTTGTTTGTTATTCTTACAAAATGCTTTTTTCAGCTATCATGCTTGAACAGAAAAGTACAAGTCTTAAAGATAGTTAAACAAATATATTTTTTTTGCTAATTCAGAGAGTCACCAATGAGTTGGCAATTTTTTGTAAGGATACAGACAATCAGAAAATACTTGAATTTCCAATTTCATACAGTTTTTTGGAATTCACCACTTGAAAAGTGGTTAAATGACATTTTGACACATGGAGAAACAGGAGAATGAGACAAAAACGGCTTGCAACCACTGCATTCTGTGATTCTTAGTATTATAAATACAGATATTTTCAGTCATTTTATTCCCATTCTTTGTAAATAAGGAATAAATAAAGCATGTTTATTCAATTATTCGATCACAATCACTCAGATTTAAATAGTATGACAAGTCAGGTACTTGTCATACTATTCTATACTACTATTCTATAAGAATATAAGGTTTTTTTTTAAGAATTTCACTTTACACATAAACTATGCTAATAAAAAAATCTGATATTAAAAACATAAAATCAGAAAAAATATTAATAGAAAACTATGACCTAAAAAAATTAACAGAATATATAAAATTTTATGCTGTACTGGCCCCAAATAACATTTTCCACTTAAAATGTCCTTCTAAAAACTAGTTATCTTACATGTATCGCTTAGCTATTAAAAATATATAAATATAATATATTATGGTAGTCGTCATTTTTAGCGGTGACATTAATTAAATACCAAGTTTAGTAGCATTTATTACTAAACAAAACAGCACATCTAGAAGCATAATTAAGTAAGAACTAGCAAATTATTTCACTCTTAGGAAATCTTATTTTTCGAATTCAAAATGACGACAATTTTCAGTTTACAACAAGTGAAAGTGAAGCTATTGCATTCTTCCAATAAAGGAGCATTACTACCTCCACCTGAATTTGCAAAAATGGGCCTGACATGAGACATTGCAAAAATCATATGCAGATATATTGCAAAAAACTGCATGTAAAAGAAAGTCTTAAATTAGCAACTAGTTCCCAGAACTTTATAGCAATCTGAAAAACATATTACAACTTACTTTTTTAGAAGAGATTCATAATTTTAGAAATTAATTTTTATTTGTTATTTAAAAAGCATCTTGCTGTTAACAGGACACCACTTTGTGCCAAATATAAATGTTGGTGTGAAATCTAACTCGATGGTGGCAACTCTATTGATACATATTCAGCTTCAGGAAAAGATAGCCATTTTATATATAATAACATAATATACATAATGTTTAATATGCACAATGACAAAATTGTGCAATTTTCTGATTGTTTTAAGTGAAAGCCACTGCTGTTCACTGTAAACATGGGTATCTTCTCTTGTACATAATGATGTGTTTTATGGCAATAGCATAAATTCTACCTGCCCACAGCTTCAGCACTGGCACCTTAAACATTGTATATGAACACTGCATAGCTGTTCATCACATGATATAAATAGACTATCAATTTTGATAAACAGTGCTAAGTACAATGCTATTTGGGGGGGAAGGAAGGGATATAGCATCTACACTTGCTAACAGTTTTTTCTTTGTTCCTTTGATCACTGGCAAAACCAACAAATACACCTTTATTATTAGTCAGGGTTCATAGCCACATTTTAGTTAAAAATATAAGCACCTATAAGCACTTTTCAAGCACATTTTAAGAAGGGGGAAAAAAAAAAAAAAAAAAAAAAAAACCCTGTTTAATTACATTATACACAACTGCATAACCTTAAAAGAAAAATTAGACTTGCAATTTAAAATATGAGCAATGCAATATTTATTAAGAGAATGAGCATTACCTCAACCATAGAAAACAATTAACTTTTTTTTTTTTTTTTTTAAATTTTAAATGATAGTTCAATTTACAGAATTAGTTTACAATGAGAGAAAAAAAAAAAAAAAAAAACTATGCAGAACTAAACTATATTACAAGATTTAATGATGAAATTTCAGTTCAAAATATAGAAAATAAATAACAATAAGCCATATTAATTGTATTCACTTGGCACCTAATAATAAATACAATTTATTTTCCCACTCATATTAATATTTAAATAATTTAACTTAATTCAAAATTCTGAACATTTTCTAAATTTTCATTGCATAACAGTTTTCCCTTAACATATATTCCAAGCAAAGTAGTAGAGAAGAGGAACATTTCTGATATCAGGAGACGGGAAATTGCTTCATGCAGTCATCCTTTAACAGTAAAAGCTTAACTAACCCGCATACTCGGAAATTGCTGAATATTCCGTATAGTAACTGGAAAAAGAGGTGTGGGGGAGATTGTAGCCGTTCTTTAGATTTCTCAGCTAAATAAATGATTTTGACATTTCGATATGTGCATCATATAAAAATAGACCAACGGAACTGAGAAATATTCCACTTAGAAAGCACAGTAAAACTCTTGTAAGTGTTCATAAATAAATCTCAGACTGAACATCAAAATTAATTATCTCTGCAAAATACCGCTAACGTTCGGCGTAATTCTTCCATACAAGATATTACACAATCGGAAACCGAATCAACAGCTGCCGGTATTCGGAGAATAAAGAACTAAATAAAGAAAGAGACTTACTAATCTGAGGTGTTTTTGATTCTAATTTTGAACAGACTGCGTTAAATTTCCGGAATAGAATCATTCTTCGCTTGGGTTGGGTAGACCGCAAAACTTTTAGTCCTATTCAATCCAGATTGGACAGTGACAAAAAAAAAAAAAAAAAAAAAAAAAAAAAAGGACCGCTGCTTCAATATTAGAGATTTTGCGGAGAAAGGGGAGAACCTCCCAACCTCCGTACTGTATAATGTATTTGAAAAAAAAAAAAAAAAAAAAAAAAAAAAAAAAAATCTGACTTTTTGATTACTTTCCTTTTATTTAAGCCATTCCGAATATTATTCCTTAGAAAGCTAATCTGTGTAAAAATAAACCCATTTTTGGAAGTTTATTTACACTTTAGCAGTTACTGCAACTACATTATTATAAATATTCATACCTATGCTCATAATATAAGCATAACGATCATAATAAACACGAATATGAACTCACCACACGGAACGAGAATGCAAATTATTAAAATCTCGATAGAAATTCAAACGTGTATAGTATTTGGGTGGGAGGAAAAGAATAATGAATGTACCGGAATTTTCTACGGTTTTCGCAATTCTTTGACCAATAGAACGACGTGCACCTGTCTGTACTCTCGTGCGCAATATAGGTTACGTTGATGCAGAGAAAAGGGGAAAAGCTATTTCCGGGAGTATGATTCACCATCTGACGTTCCATATAAGGAAGAAAAGTTGTTTATCTAGTTTTGGTTTGGTACAGGAGGGGGGAATGCGCGTTCATTAAAAAAAGCACTAAAAACAAAAAAATAAGGGCTTTAAAAAAAAGTAAGCGTCATAAGGGCCTTTATATTTTATTTTCAAATATAAGGACTTATAAGCACTTGTAAGGACTACTACGAACCCTGTTAGTACAGTCAGTCTTTAATCTGGACGTCCATAATCCGAAATGATCTATAATACGGACCTTAAAGCTACAAACTTTCCCCGCATACTTTAACGCATGAGCATATGCATCTACACATGCATGTTTAATGTATAACGGACGGTATAAGCTAAGCTAAAATTAGCTAATTATCTATTTCAGTTAATGTTGCAGATTGCATTGTTCCTTAATCTTCTAATTAGATCCGGCTTATTATTTTTTGCAGACTGTTAGAGCAATTTTATAAAAGTAAGCTTGAACTTTCGATTATGTCAGAAAGAATTTCCGACTCTGGAGCTACCAAAGGATCTACAAAGCAAAAGCATGTTTCGATGTCCATCAAACAAAAAGTGGAATTGCTACAAAAAAATGGATAAAGGCATATCCTTTGATTCTCTAATCATTCCGAAATATGTTTATCAATTTCACACTGCTCTGCGGAGGGGGGGGGGAGGGACACGGCATGCAATTAACTGGAAGTTGATCTGTCAGCACTATCCTTATCTTCAGGGCAGATATTTTTATTTATTTTATTCGGCTAATAATTTCTTAATAAATGTAGTATTTCATCTCGATGTACTCTGTCTTTGATATGATTTAAATAAAATTCCTCGTCATTATAAATATCACGAATACACATCGAATAGTTTTCTGGTTGCAATTTTCTAATTTCGACTATGCATTATGTATGCTTTATGCATGCGCACATTGAAAGAAATGTTTAATAAAGTAAACAAATAAATATAAAGCTTTTTTTGTAAATTTTGATACCCTTTAGAACATAATTGCTCTTTATTTCAGAAATTACGGTTTGATATTTTTAATTTTATAATCTCTGCATGCCATCTTACCAGGCTTAAATTGATGATCTATAATCCGGAATCGCCGAAGTCCCAACGAGTCCGGATTAAAGACTTTTGACTGTACTTTACTTTAACTTTTGCTTTAGAACATTTAACTTATTTTTTTAATTACCTCAAGCTCTGTTACTTAGATTATTTAGTACACTCCTTACAGTATGCATTTAACTGTTTATATATGTCTGATCTTATGCATGAAACTGTCTTATATTTGTCCCAAAATAACATAACAGCCTTCTTTTTGGAGCTTAAAAGAAATACAATTTAATAAACTGAACTTACTTTATCATTGAGATTGGTGGCAGTATCATCACTATTCCTTTTCCTTTCTTCAGAAGATAAGCACTCACCATTTTCATTAAATATATCGTTTAGACTTTTTGCTGTATTAGGGGTCTGATCAACAACTGCTGCCATACTATCACTTTCCTTTTACATTAAAACTGTAATACAATGTGACGAATGCAGTGGGCAGTCCAAAGACATACTCTAAAATGAAATGAATAATGGAATATTTCATATAACCATAGGAAATTATTATCAAATAATAAATATATTTTAAAACTTGTTATGTTTATTATTCATATTTATCTGTCTTAATAGTTAACAGCACCATATCTTTTTATGGACCTTGATGCATTATTCTGTGGATGTAATGAAGAAAAGTAATGTTTTGTCTCAGTTTTATCATTAAGAAAGATTACCATCTACAGCTGAAATAACTATTAAACAAAATTTAGTTTTTGCATGTGATTTTTTTGCATTTGCTAAATTTTTAGTTGCAGGTATGATGGCAACACTTTGTAATTTACAATATTCATCAACAAAGTAAAGTTACACGGATACATATCCACAACATTTCCTTATTATAATGACATTTGTTTTATAAATAACAGAAAAACTGTAGAAAAATAAATCTTTTACAATTTGCTAAGCAATGAGAAGTTCTCAGTAATTCACATGGATTCTTTCCATTAAAAAGACACAAGGTGGCACCAAATAATTGTTGCCAGCATGCATGCAAGTACACACACAACTACAGTCAAAAGTCGTTAATCCGGACACCCATAATTCGGAATGATCTATAATCCGGACCTCAAAGCTAAAAACTTTCTGCGCATGCGCCGCGTTGACACATGCGCATAGGCATTTATGCGTGCGAGTAAGACCTCTTACGACTGCGCATTTGCGTGTGCGCAAGCGCAGAATACGTTTTGCGTGCGCGTTTTATGTATAATGGACGGTATAAGCTAAAATTATCTAATTATCTAAATCAGTTAATGTTGATGATTGCGTTGTTCCTTAATTTTCGAATTGGATCCGGCTTATTATTTTTTGCAGACTGTAAGATCAATACTATAAAAGTAAACTCGAACTTTCGATTATGTCAAATAGAATTTTAGATTTCTGTAGCTCCCAAACAATCGTTTTGTTTGATGGGCACCGAAGTATGTTTCGATGCCCATCAAACAAAAAGTGGAATTGCTGCAAAAAATGGATAAAGACATGAAGAATGTGACAGAGAGGTTAGTGAAAAACGAAAAAAAATTCGATTGACAAGTTAGTCGGTATTCTCGGCACAGCAATTAACGGGCCTTGAACAGCGGAACTTTGTAACTGACCAAAAAATTATGTCTGTTTATAGAATTAAAGAGAAAGTATTATCACATAAAACGAAGCAACTTAAACAACTTACATTGAAAGAAATGTTTAATAAAGTAAACAAATAAATATTAAGCTTTTTTTTTGTAAATTTTGATACCCTTTAGATCATAATTGTTCTTTATTTCATAAATTACGGTTTCATATTTTTAATTTTATAATTTCTGCATGCCATCTTACGCGATTTAAACTGATGATCTATAATCCGGAAAAATCGATAATCCGGAATAACCGAAGTCCCGACGAGTCCGGATTAACGACTTTTGACTGTATTACATTTTGTGGACATATTAAAGTGGTATCTCTTCAACAAAAAATACATCTCATTTTACCAAATTTTCTTTAAAAAAATAATTATAAGTTTGATTCACCAAGAGGTGAAGAAGGAGCTATAACTTTTTCCAAGAAAGACACAGTTTACCTCGCATTAAAACATAAAATGGGCATTAACCCTTTGACTAACGAGACTAAAAGTTTAAAGTCCCACTAAAAGTTTAAAAATTACTGCTGGGTTAAAAAAGTACTCTGAATCTCCTGAATGCTGGGGATCATGATCCAATAGTTGAAAAATTTCAATGGTTTCAGAATGTTATTTGTAACAGCACAACAATTTATTTACTGTTGGGCAAAGGAACTAATACATCTTTCATGGTAGAAACATATTTTAGCACAGCTTTAAAGAAATTTCTGAATGATTTTATGATGCCATTTCTTCACTATATGACAAATTTCAAAATGGTTACTTTTGTGGTGCATATAATAAATAAAACTTCAGTTACATTTGCAATTATTACATTTAAATTTTTTGAAATTCCACTGAACATAATCAAACTTTTCCTGTATGCATACTAATGACATTTAAAAAATCCAAATACAGCACAAAGTTCAAAATCAAGAAGTCCATTCCAGACCACCAGAAAAAAACAAAAAATAAATAAAATAATAATAACAGAATTTCCCCCTTATAAAGCCTAAAAATGGGGAATATAATACTCAGCATTAGGAAGAATGTGTACTGTAAATGCCGAGTTTTCTCATACTAATCAAGATTATTGCATGTCACTTTCAAACACCTGTTGACTAAAAAGTCACATGGTGACCAAAGGTAATCCATTGATTGACATATTAATGTTGGCCAGGAAATCATTTTCAGCCCTTGAGTCATCATGGGAAGTACACATTTTTCTTTCTGATCTAAACAATAAATTAATCCCCAATGTTGCCATGTCTATGTGTCATATGAATAAAACTGACGATCTAAAATCAACACATTTTTCCAAAATCTAAAATCACTGAGGTCCCATAATCCTTTCTCTTCAGTTATTATACTTTGGGCACATATTAACATGTTCTACATTAATTTTATATTTATTACTGATCTATAATATAATATGCTCATTATCTCATGTTTTAATAAAAACAAAAACTCAGATTTTAATAGGTATTTTCTGATTATGTGCATTTACAGTTTCCACACGAAATTATTTCTTTAAAGATGAAATTTTTCTATAACTGATGTCAAAAACTTCTACCTGATAGTCATTTAAACATTTTGAATTAAAAATAACTATGAAAAACATTATATTTAATTACTTAAATCTGATAAATGAAATGGCATGCTCATTAAATGTACATTATTCATCAAGAATAGTGCTACTGATAACTTAAAACTCTATTACAAAATAAATTATTAACTATCAATATTATAAACACTTGTGCGATAGCCGATAGCTGTAGCAGAAGTATCTGCTGTCTTTAAAAATGCAAATAGTGGCCATAAAAACTTTTATTTTTTCAAACAAAATTTCTCATTTTCTATAAAATACATTAATTATTTTTTTTGGTACTATTTGGTTTCGAGGGCCATAAAAAATTGCCAAACTTTTGTTGATGCCAATGTTGCCAAAAATAATTGCAACAACCCTAATAATTGCGGCAAGAAAGGTAGTAAAAAAGTAAATAACTATCTAAGATTGATGTTTTAATTTAGATGAAAGGTTAATTTCATATAATACTTTTTCATTATTATAATTTATATGAAAAAAGGCTAAACATGACTGAATGGAAGCATAAGAGTAAATAACTATTTCAGATTATTATTATAATTTATATAAAAATTGCTAAACATAACTGAATGGATGCCTGCATCGCTATTTCGCTACTGACTTATCGCTTATACTTAAGCATAATTTCATCTCGTTCGTTATTCAAACGTAATTTTCTATAATGAACGATGCCTCTTTTTTGAAAATATTCTCGGTAAAGTGCTGAATCGCTCACTTATTTGTTCACCGCTTTTTACAAGGGTAAAAACAATTGGATTTTTGTCAATTTTCTTTTACTTTTTAAATGAAAATCGGTCGATGTGTACATAGATAATGTCAAGGGTGTGCACTGTGCCCATTTTTGTGCAATTCTGAGTTTTTTTTTAAGTGAAAATAGGTCGATGTGCACATAAATACCGAGTATGTGTAATTCTTAAAAACGCGTCAAGCAATGGATGATTCTGCATTTTACCCAAAATTCCATTGCACACTTTTCGTCATGGGCAATTCCCAAATTGTTAAATCTATAGGATATTAAAAAAGGATTTAAAAATTAAACTAGTATTTCAATGGCAACTTAAGAAATATAGAACTATATAAACTTACGCAATCTGAAATCAGCGCGTATGCTAGATTTGGCGCGCTGTTAAATGGGCGCGTTTGCTAGATTTGGCGCTTTTGCGCATACATTTTCGCTACAATTGTTTTATAGCCCTCAAAACAGAATAGTATTTATTTTTTATTATTAATGAAGAAACAGTACCTATGAGCCACAAGGTTAGCCAAACAAAATTTTTTGCCAATTCACAATCAGTCAATAAGTTGATTTTTTTGTGAGAGTCCAAATAATCAGAAAGTACCATTTTATCCATACTCCTTCAGAAAATGCAGGTCTAACAAATTAATGCTATACAAAATAAGCTCTTCAGAATTCTTACTTACAATATAAAATTGTGGCTTTTAATCTATACTTTAAAATACTTTATAAAACTTTAAACAGTTTCATTATTCACTATAATGTAATTCTATACAATATTACCATATTTGTACACTCTACACATTAATTAAATAATCACTAAATCTTTAAATTCGATTCACTTATAGGTCCTTAGAATGCAGTACAAATTAAAAACTATATGTTATAAATATATTAGAACACTTCTTTTATAGTCATAGCTACCTACACATTTTTGATAATTCAAGTATGTGAAAACTGTATTTCATATAAAAATATTTCTGCATTAACATTCAAAATTTTCGTTTGAGATATATTTTTATCATACAACAATTTGAAAATGTAAACATACAATTTTGTTTTCATAATTATATTTTGCTTTAAAAATAATTTAATATAAATTCATTTAAGACTATGCAGAGATAACATGGCAAATTTCTATTCATACTAATGCAAGTTCTGATATGTTCCTTTTCAGATCGAACACGTACATAACTCTTTGTCATTATAAATCCACTTGCATTAAATGACAGACAAACATTACAAATAAGAAATCTGTTTTCACAGTAATCACAGCTCTCTAAACTTATTTGGTTAAGATATAAAAAAGTACTAGAAAATAATAGTAGAAATGCCAACCATATAATATTAAAGTAATCCAAAAATCTAGCAAAACATTGGCCAAGTCTGAAAAACAACTGAACAGAAAAACCCTCACTATGAGAAGTTTAAAATAGTATTAGAAACTGTCACTGATATTTACATCAGGCGGCTTATGAATTTCATCATTCTTTTGTGTTATTGATGATATTCTGGTATTGCACAACGCTGAGTACGCGAAATTTATGAAAGAAATTTGAATGTTACATAAGAACTGATAATAAACGAAGGAAATAAACAGAGGGTAGTTGACTGAAAACAATCGTGGAAAAGGGCTTCCTTAATGGTTTATTAATATATCATAAAAATGGTATGAATTGCATGCGAACATAAACAAAAGTCATATCACCTGTGCTAGTAAACAACAGGTACAATTCTGAAAAACGAAACTGATTATATTTAGAATTACACGACACGTCACGTGACAACAACAAAAAATGAAACATTGCTTTATCCTTTAGACCAAGCTTTGCACTTCCCCTTCTGCTTAAAAAGAATACTATTATGTGGCTTACCGATAATAACATATAAAAATTTTGAAAACATAAAGCTCCTTCCTCTCATTATAAGCAATATTTGTAATCATCTTGAAATTTTAAAACTGATTATTTTCTAAATTACTGTTTTTATTTTAATGGATTTTTTTTAATTATATGAACTAGAAGAAACATCAAATATAATCATTGAATTCACCTTCCAGACCTTTAAAACAGAACGATTTATTCAAATAATCCTATTTTCCGAAGAAATATTTAGTATTTAATAATAAAAGCTAAGAAATGAAGAAGAATGTGAAAAGAAGAGATATGAGTAGTTTCAGTTTTATAAGACTGATGTTTAATCAAAGAATATGTATTCCTCACGAAATGGCGTTTGCCAAAGTCCTCATCATCTTTCTTCTTGTCTAAAAGGCAAGATTGATACTGATACTGATAATATGTATTGTACAAGGAGGTTAGGTTTTGTATGTACATAGACTTTCTTTGGTTTAACCGTGCACTATTTCATGAAGTAAACATGGATTTCAATGTGGATGTTGCTGAGTTTTTTAATGCAGAACTCGGTGATGAACTTCCATCACTAAGTAAACTACAAGATATTTTGGAAAGAATATCAAATTATGAAAGAGAGCTAGAGAACGAGGTTTAACTTTTTTTTGTGTGTTGGTTAATTATTTTATAAATGCTTTTTTTTTAATTTCTGTTACATTACTTTTCTTGCGTATTGTTAAAATCGTGCGCTTTTCCTCAGTTTAAATCTGCCGTTAGTATTTACATGAATTGTTTAAACTGCAGTGTTAATCTTTTATAAATTTGTGATACATTTGCTTTTATGCTTTACATAGATATTTTAACAAATATTCGGTTAATGTTGTATGTCATCATGGGCTTAGCCAGGATCGGAGCTAGGGGGATGCAAACGATCTTAGACCGAGAAAACGAAACTATGATATGACAGGAATTCGTTAGTGGTAGAGTAAATAAAATTGTTAAGCACTTTAGCCTTTCCTTGATCCTTGATCCACGTGCAAGTGTTTTTCGAACAGATTAAACAAATTATTATCCTTTACAGTGTTCGTTTCTTTAATTATTTAACACTATTTTTTCAAATTTAAAACACCATAATGACTCGAATCAGAAAAGGGTTTGCAAGATTCTTTCCCCTTGTCATTAATCCAAGAAAGGAATCTGAAAGTTGCAAATGTCATCCTGAAAAAGAAGCCTTTTAGTACCCTGGGGGCTAACCTCAGGGTACTAAAAATTATACTTAGACCGGACAAAGAGGAAATGCTTGCTTGCAGGAAACTCTTGGAATTTAAAGAGTAATATAAGAAACAAAGAAAATGTTTCTCTAACTTGTTAGTTGAAATAAAAATAAAGAGTTCTATTCGTTTAGGGGGTTGCAAATCACCTCCCTGCACCCCCTTGGCTATGTCCATGTATGTCATCAGTTTTTTTTTTTTTTTTTTTAAATTTTTTTTTTAATTAATATGAGTTTATTCTGTTGGTGTTTCATCTTAAATATAAAATGTGTGGTTATTATTAGGTTATTATTATTCCACTATTTAATTTGTATTCCTTCCCATTTAGTAGTTAATCTCAATTCTGTCACAAATAATTTTGCATCATGAATCATGTGCAGGTTTGTATTCATTGTTACATGAATTTATATTAAATAATTTCTAGATTAGTTGGCATGTATCAGACCTTCCTTGGGCCAGATGAACAAATGGCTGATTAATCAAAAAAACATATAAGTTGTTATGGTCATAAGCCAAAAAGCATATAAATTGATAGGTTATAAATTAGATTTAAAAATATATGTGTATATTGAAGTAAAGTTGGTTGATCTTTACATTATGGTAACTTGGTGTTTTTTTGGCGAAAATTTGGCGACCAACTCTCCTACAGCAACCCTCTATTTTTTTTTTCCCGCCGCCATTTTGTCTTCACGAAGTAAAGACATGTTTCTTTTCTTTTTATCTACTGAACACTTCTTCCAACAATCTACTAGCCGAATTACACTTATGCTAGAAATTTTATCTAACAAAACTGCTTAATCATTCACTGCAAAATTGGGAAAAAGTGCACAATACCATACTCCTTACGCGTTTTTCAAAATAACACATACACATAAACCATGTACACGCAGACTTATTTTTACTTAAAAAAACATCCCAGAATTGCACAAAAAGGCATTGTGCACACTCTTCACTATATCCATGTACACTGCTTTTTTCTCATAAATTAGAAAAATTTCACGAAAATACATGACAATTTTCTCAATCTTTAAACCCGGTAAAAAGAACATATATGAAATTACCTGATCGCGAAAAAGTATTTACCCTTTCCAAATATGAACATTTCCACATATAAAATAAATAAAATATCCAAAAACTTTTACCTCTAAATCATCTATTACATTATACACGTCACCAACGAATTCATACCGCAACCATTACAAATACTTAGTATCAGATATTTAAATTATTTCCATGCACGTTTACTTCAACTAAAACGTATACCAAATTCCTACAAACATAAAATTCACAAAATAACTATCATTTAATTAAAATATAATTAAATTCAAAAACACTACTTAAAATATGAATGAGCACATACATTAAATTAATACATACATAAATACCCATTTCGAATTCACTTTAGTTACGGCCATGGGATCCAAAAATTCACGAACACTGTTTCACACAACACAGAATAAAGCCAAATACAAAGTTTCCAGATTTTTTCTCGATTTCCCCCTTTTTCCGATTAAAGAACCGTAATTCGTCCATTAATATCACATGACATATCCCATGATCTCTCATTTCCCTCACACAAAATAATGCGTAATCGGAACTGAGTACTGCTCACATTATTACCAAAGTGCCAGGTAGTAACCTTTATCGCCTCCAAAATGTCGCCAAACTACCAGTTACCATATTGTAAAGATCAACCGTAAAGTTATTAAACAGTCATATGTTGAAGTAATATAAAAATCTGCTTTTTGTTTATATATATATAGAGAGAGAGTGTTTGTTTTATGTATATATATAGAGAGAGAAAGAGATCAGTAATTGAAAAATATATACTTAAAATTTGTTAATGTCATGTAAATTGCTACAAAATTAATTTGAGTAATATAGAATATAAATCTACCATTGCCTTCTTCATTTTAAGTAGCTCCCACTTTTGGTGGATTTGTATTCTATTTCATTCTATTCTATAAGCATATAAACACACATACAAATATTTTTTGTAACTTCCAGTTTCTCTAAATGTCATACATTTTCCAAGAACATTTAGACCATTTTGTATGCAGTTTGCAGGTTCTTCATTATAATTCTTCATTTTATGTTCTTATTCAACTTCATCATTTCAGCTTAACTAAAAGTACAAGGAGAGCTATTGAAAGAAAAAGAGGCATATGAAGCAACTAATAATTATCCTTATTGAAATTATTTGTACCAACAATTTCAAAAATTTATTTACAGACTGTGATTGATTAAATTTTAAATATATTGCAAAGTTTTTTTTTTATATAAAATATCATAAACTTTGAATGTTAGATTGGATATGGCTGTAAAATCAGCCATTTAAACTGCGACATATGCTCGGTGTAAACTAAATCTAAACGTGACATTAACATATTTATGTGTCTAACTGATGAACTCTTCATAAAGATATACAATTCTAGTGTCCTGCAAATTAAAGAATATAAGATAATAAGAGCTTGATAAACACTATAATTGTAATCCTTTTATTATTCATGTTATTTCTTTCTACAAAATTTAAACGTTTTTTAGTCTGCTGTGCAGTGAAGTTCAACCAATTAAGATTGATCCCAAATGAATCCTAGATAGCTTTGTAATCCATCTATCTACCAGTAAGTGTCTACTAATAAATCATTGCTATATGTTTTAACATAAAATAGTGATTGGAGATTCATAATTTGCTTTTGAATCGTAAATAAGCCATAATTGAGACATTTTCATAGTAGCAGTAAAAAATGTTTAGATTTACTTTTGTAATCCAAAGTTAATGTTGTAAACACAAAATGGGATAGCTCGAAAAATAATTGTCTTCTTTTAATGAAATTTTATTCACAAATCCCAGTGCTGTGATACTTCTGATAATATCGCAACAAAATAATTAAGGTAATGTTTTGCAATATGCAGATGAAACCAAAAATGGCCAAAACTTAACACCTCATATTTCCAAAATGGTCTGCCTGATAAACAGTGTGGCCGTCTTGCACAGCTTTGTTTGTAAATTAGCTTTCCTCGTATTGTAAATGAGCTTTGATGTTGTAGCAACAAATCCTATTCTTCTAAAAGTGAGGGTCATAATGCATTTAAGATCCTGGAAATGTGTTGATGTTATGCAAAGACACTCTCTAGACCATCCGAAATATGTTTCCCAAAATTTAGGTCTGGTAGTGTCACTGACCACACTGTATGATTTCCTCACACAAAGATTGCACTTAGACCAGAGAGGTCAATTTCCTTTATATTGGAGAGATGATAGTGGGCCCCAGGCTCTTTCCATTTTAAGACTTTTAAAATCATTCTATGTACTGAATCTCCACTTTCTCCAAAGATAACAGGGTTCCAGTTTTGTTGCATCCAAGGATGGTATGCCTGGCTTTGTAAAAGATAGACTGCCTGCTGGATCTTTTGAGGGTTATGCTTAGTGCTGATTATCAGATACAAAAGAACTTCTTTACTAAGTATCTGTATATGGCAGTAGTGCCCAACCTTTAATTCGATGCAAGACAATTTAGAATTTCAAAAAATTTGGTGAGCCACAATTATATGTTGCACTTTTAATATTTCAATTATAAATGTTCATAATGCATAAACTGTGAAAATATGTGGTATAAAATGTCAAAGAAAAAGTGTAATTATTTACTCTTTTTATTAATATTTATAAATTTTCGATAAGAGGAAAATTAAATGTGGAAACAGCATATCTTAACATGAAATCTAGCAGTAAACATCTTCTGTGAGTTTACTGTACTCAGATAATACCACAGTATGACTAAATTCATGCAGTCATTAGGATGTTCATTTGTTATTCTGGATTTGAACTTTGATTTTTACTAGTTCACTGTTGAAAACTCGCAACAGTAAGTTAATTTAAAGCAGGAATTTAAACTTTGAGAAGCTTCTTTTAAGAGTAAGTATTTTTTCTTATCTCTAAGAATCCAAAAATCTATTTGTGATATTCTTGTTTTTAATTGTAGATCAGACAGAAAGTCAGTTATTTCCAATTCTAGATCAGTAAAATTTGTATTTAATGCGTTTGCAATGTGTTGGGACAAAGGTACTCTTAAAGATCAGTGAATAAACATTTCAGGCATAGCTTCTCTTCTGTGAGTGATGAAATTTCTGGATGATTTTACATCTTAGATAACTGGCAAAATTTCATTCCTATTTTTAGCTTCTTGAAATAAAACCTCCAATGCAGCAAGCATTACTTAGAAAGTAAAGTACAGTTCAATTTGAAGCAACCCACCATGACGTGAATAATGATGTGTGGAATATTGAGAGCAATGTTGCCTTGCAATGTCAGCCCGAAGTCACATGAAAAAGATCTGTCATCAGGGGCTTTGATCGGCTACACTTTTGAGTGTATGACGTAACTGAAATTCGACTTTTTATTTATCAGATATAGTGTTTAAAGTCAATATTTTAAGTTTCCTAGGTTGTTTAATTGTTTCCTTCCGAGTGATGAAATTGCTAAGTTCAGTTGAAAACAATTTAAATCTTGTTAGAAAAATTAAGTATCTTTTTTTGCATAATGAAGCTTGGGAATCTCAATCAAACAGGCACGACCAAAAGGTGTAAAACTGACAAGACAAGAATTAACTGTAGGTCTTAGTTCCTTAGCAATTTCAGCTACTGTACCTTTCATTTTCGGAAAATGATCACGCTGCAAGAAATCACCTAATAGGTAAAACTGATTTTGCCAGAAATTAAAAAAGGCTCAAGAATATTAGCTTCAGTCCAAGGAAAGTAGGTCTGTGTCTTTTCACAAAAAGGGGTTGTTGTAAAAAAATTAATGTATTTGTGTATGTTGATGATGATATTCTGAGTTCTAAAGAAGAAGCACTAATTCTTCAAGTAATCAATGATTTCAAGAAACACTATCAAATAACACATTTAGGTGAAGCAGAATATTTCTTAGGCTCAATTTGAAGAAGCAAAATGTAGTACTACAGTACAAAGTCTTTAATCCAGAATGATCTATAATCCGGACCTCATAACTACAAACTTTCTGCGCATGCGTAGCATTTATGCATGTGCATAATACCTTTACGCATGCGCATATGCATTTAATGTATAACGGACAGCATAAGCTAGGCTAAAATTATCTATTTCAGTTAATGTTGCAGATTGCGTTGTTCCTTAATCTTCTAATTGGATCCGGCTTATTATTTTTTGCAGACTGTTAGAGCAATTTTATAAAAAGTAAGCTTGAACTTTCGATTATATCAAAAAGAGTTTCCGATTCTGGAGCTGCAAAAGGATCTACAAAAGCGAAAGCATGTTTCGATGTCCATCAAACAAAAAGTGGAATTGCTGCAAAAAATGGACAAAGGCATATCCTTTGTTTCTCTAAGAATTCCGAAATCAGTTTCTCAATTTCACGCTGCTCTGCGGGGAGGGGGGGGGGACATCACAGCGAGCAATGAACTGGAAGTTGATCTTGTTTGGCTTTAAGTTTTCCTTATGCAAATTTTGATCGGAGGTCAATCGGCGGTAAGCTAATGTGGTTGCTGATGACGTCAAGATCGGCAGGTTGGCCGAGTATTATATATATGTATGCCGGTATCGGCGAATGTTGTGTTATTATGAGTTAGCATAATGCTAGTTTTCTTTCACTCAATGATTTTAAATGTAAAGGCTACAATGTTAGCTTCTTTTATTTTAATTTAAGGAATAAAGCATGAATTTTATTTAGATTAGTCTTAGCTTTATTGAAGGGAAGCAAAATATGCTTTGCCTTTATCGCCACTGCCAACAGATCTGTCAACACTATCCTTATCTTCAGGGCAGATGTTTTTATTTTATTTGGCTTATAATTCCTTACTAAATGTAGTATTTCATCTCTATGTACTCCGTCTTTGATACGATTTAAATCAAATTCCTCGTCATTATAAATATCACGAATACACATCAAATATTTTCTGGTTGCAATTTTCTAATTTTGACTATGCATAATGTATGCTTTACGCATGCGTGCGTTGAATGCGTTGAATGAAATGTTTAATAAAGTAAACAAATAAATATAAAACTTTTTTTGTTAATTTTGATACCCTTTAGATCATAATTGCTCTTTATTTCAGAAAAAACGGTTTCATATTTTTAATTTTATAATTTCTGCATGCCATCTTAACAGATTTAAATTGATGATCTATAATCTGGAATCGCCTCCGGAAATCTATAATCCGGAAGTCTCGACGAGTCCAGATTAAAGACTTTGTACTGTAGTACATCACTAGAAACAAGTTATTATAATCTAAGAAAAGAGGAAAATTTTCTACTTTCAAGTGATAAATGTCAAAATATTGGAATTCTTTTGTATGTATCATCTATCACAAGATTAGACATCACAGTTTCAACTAACATGCTTAACAGAAGATGTAATAACCAATGTCAAAAAAGAGTTGAATGCTGTAAATAGAATCATTAAATATATAAACACAATAAAAAATCCTTCTCTATATATTTCATTGAATGTAGAGCCAAATATTGTAGTCTACTTAAATGCTGATTGGGTACAAGATATTCAATAGTCTACTTAAATGCTGATTGGGTACAAGATATTCAGTAGTCTACTTAAATGCTGATTGGGTACAAGATATTTAATAGGCTACTTAAATAAAAATATTCAAGACTTACAAGATATTCAAGACAGAAAATCGACATCAGGAGTGTAATTTTATTAGATAGCAGTTGTATTTTGCAGCTTCAAGGAAAAAAAAAAAAAGACCAATATCTCTCGTTCTACTGGGCCGATTGACAAAATTCAACTTGCGTTTTTCATGTCTCGAAAGCGCGACTTAGGATATACTATATTAGATTTATACATAGCATTGCTCTAACATAAGTATTCTGACACAAAATCGTACTTTTTCTAAATAACATAAATTTTTTTTTCCATATTTCGATTCTATGACTCAAATTATGCCTAGATATTAAATTTTGTAAAATTTGGTGCGGAATTTACGGAGAAATTAAAAAATTTATCTTGCCGAAATTTTTTCAGTTTGGCCAAGAATAATTCACTTGGCGAACTTCTTAATCTATGGCAACCAATTTTCCTTTCGCTTCCATAATGCCGGAGCAGAAAAAAGGCACCTTGTTCCTACCTTTTCACATTGTGTATGAGCGAAAAAAAAGTCACATTTCTTCTTCCAAATAATTTTAGCAAAGTGTTTAAAACCACATCTGATTTTTTATCGCTTTCAACAAATATGCCAAATTTCAAAATGTGCCAATATATAAATTCACGTGTATCTTGAAAAATTTTGAATAAAAAAATTGTAATTTTTTGCAGGTATGCTTAGAAATACGCCTACTTTAAGATGATGGTAAAAATTTTATAGATTATAATTCAAATTTTTTTTGAAAAATTTATAAAAATTATTTAAAAATACAAATTTTAAAAATAAATCATAAAAAATGGGTGAATTTTATTTGGAAAGAACTTTCGAAATGTGAAAGGAAGAATCAAATAAGGTTAATAAAAAAAGAGAGATTAATAAATATATACCAAACTCAATTAACATTGAGGAGCTAAAATTTTAAGAGCTAATTTTTTAAAAACTACTCGTGCAAGTTTTACAAAACTTGTCAGTTTGGCATAATTTGAGTCGTAGAGTCAAATTATGGGAAAAAAATTGGCATGTCATTTCAGAAAATGTCCAATTTTATGTCAAAATACCTATATATAAATCTAATACATATCCTAAGTCACGCTTTCGAGACATGAAAAACGCAAGTTGAATTTTGTCAATCGGCCCAGTAGAATGGGAGATATAGAACTGTCCCTTTTTTTTTGCACAGTGTATATGTCGGGTAGATATACAAATGATTAGAAATGCAGCGTGATTGTGCATTGCATAATACCACTAGAGGGCATTGAACTTTGTTCTTCTTGGAATATAAAACAGGTAAGCAGAGCTTGCTTGAGTGTACTTAATCTTTTGCCAAAGAAACGCTGAGGTGGGCACGCCGTTACTCTGCCATCGAAGCCAATATCAGCAACTGTCAGAGTACGAGAGGGGAAGAATTATCAGGATAATGGAACCTGGGTGGTCATCTCGGTAGTAGCCATTCTGATTTCAGTCTGACAATCAGACTCATCAGGTAGGCCATTCTGATTTTACTGTGAGGAGTTGTTGGAACCAGTGGACAGAAGAGACATCATTTGTACGGTGACCAGCCTCAGGACGTCCTTGACAGACCAGTTGTTGAAATGACCGTCACAGCATGCGACATGCACGTGTACAGCCAACTGCTTCATTAGCCACTATCCAGACACAGGCAGCAGCTTCATTACAGGCCTGTGTGTCTTTCCGAGCCATTGCAAGGTGCCGGGGTGAAGGACATCTGGTATCGCAGTGCCCATTACGTGTGCTACCAATGACACCCACTCACCGACACCTATGTTTGGAGTGGTGTCGCACATGACAGGATTGGACTTTCACGGAATGGAACCAGGTCATCTTCAGCGATGAATCTAGATTCAATTTGACCAGTGATGACCATCGTGTTCATGTGTGAAGTCCCTGTGGTGAACGCCTCAATCCTGCCTTCGCTTTACAGCGACAAACCGTACCCACATTTGATGTGATGGTATGGGGTGCCATTGCTTACGATACACGGTGACCCCTTATATTGATTACATGGCACTATTACAGGCCAGCTGTACGTCCATGACGTCCTTCAGCCACATGTGTTGACACTTGTGGCAGGGCTCTCAGCAGCCTGTTTTCAACAAGACGATGCTTGGCCTCACACAGTGTGGATCTCACAAGACTGCCTCCACCACATTAACATCCTTACCTGGCCTGCTCAATTCCCAGATTTGTCACCAATCGAGCATATCTGGGATCATTTGGGACAACAAGTTGGACAGCCTACGAGATTGGCCAAACTAGAGTGCGTTTACAGCAACTGTTGAACGAGATGTCTCAGGACACTATACGGATCTTGTATGCCTCAAATGCCTGCTCTTATAGCATCGTGCATTTGAGCTAGAGGTGGTCCAACAGAGTACTAAAACTTCCGTTCATGTGTACTTTTTTCTGCAATAAATGAACCTTTTTTCTTTGATTTTCTAATCACTTACTTATATCAAAGTAGTACTTACAGATGTAAAATTTCGTTTCATTCTGGCAACTCTTTCTTGGTGCATGAATTTTTATGGCAATGAGTGTGTATTAAATAAAACAGATATTCATATTTTTGTTTATGCACAAGATGTTTCGGTATGAAATATTTACTGAATGTTCGGGTTTGCTTCAGAGTTAACTGATTTTTCGTTGCCCTTTCAGATCAATCCACGTAATCTGGATCCCAGCCATCTGCCTTCCTTTACTGAGAATGCAGGCAAAGCTTTGGAGCAAATCAGTGAATTAACAGAGCAATGTGAACAACTTCACGCATCTGCTGAAGCTGAATTAGTGCAACTAGAGCCAATTAAACAACATTTTGCCTTACGAGTAAAGGAATTACAAGAAATTCAATGTCTTTATAATTATCTTCAGTGGATTTTAAAAATTGAAGATGAAAAGTTAGTGTATTTTGAGTAAATGTTTATTAATTCGTTTTGTGAGAGGTTGTTTGTTTTCATATGACTTTATGACTTTTTATTAGTTTTTATCGTTTGGAAGTATTTAAATGTGTCAGCCATTTTGAAATGCAGAATATATTAAGATGCAGTTAAGATAATGAATTGAGTCAGTGTCCTTGCATAAATAATGTTTAAATGTTAATTTTTTAAGGTATGTATTTATTTTTTATCATTTTATAACTGTGCTTTTTTAAACTTGTGCTTCCAAATGTAACATATACACTGAAAATCGTTTAAAACGAAACTGAGAGGACTGAAATATTTTTCATGTTAAAAGAATTTCTCGTTAAAGGATATTGAAAAAAAAAAAAAAAAAAAAAAAAAACAAACATTTATTGAGTTTTTGGAAAATAACTTGGTATTTTTCTTTGCATTGTCTTTTTTAGCATCAAATTGTCAACAAATTATTCGATTTCCATTTTGTTATTCATTTCACCATTTAAGAGGGTGTCGAAATAACTGCATGTACTTTTCATGATGTTCCGGATGACATGGGAACAGGAGCTGCATTATTAATTTCATTTTCATCATCAGAATCTGCATCAATGATATTTTTTTAGCTTTGAACAAACTCCAAAATATCTTTGCCATAATTGGGGCTGTACACACATTATCATCATTTACTGCAACGGATTCTGATGATGATACAGTAGGACAGTCCAATAATACAGAAACTTTCTCAAATAATTTCCTTATGTGTCGGCTCAGTTTCAATGTCCTCCTTCTCCATTTCTTTTAATGCAAGCCAAACTCGCTGACTTTTACACACACTGTGATGTACTCATCACCGAACTCCAAAACCAACTGATGAGAGATGAGATGTTTTTGTGTGGTGTTTGTAGGGGGGGGGAAGGGTGGAAGTAGCTTAGCTAAACAAAATTGGCTTTTGTCACAGGCTATTCTGAGCGCATTTCAAAACCAAGTTTTCCTCCTTTGTACGAAAATATGAAACCACCTCTCTTTCATTTCACATCCCTCTTAAATCTCGTCTGCGCAGCTGGAGTTTTTCATATTTTGTTCATTCCCAGAAGGGAAATCTTTTCATGTTAAAAGAAAAAAAATGCATGAAAGTACACAGTAGCTTGTTGGGACCATTGTATTATTTCGTTGTTAACCAATATTAAGCATTTTCGAATTAAACATATTCTCTGTATACGGTACAAAGTCTCTAATCTGGACGTCCATTACCCGGAATTATCTATCATCCCAACCTCAAAGCCACAAACTTACACATGCACGTTTGATGCGCACGTCCGCTACGCATGCATGTAAAGCCAGTAAAGCATTTACCCATGCGCGCTTCCGATAGTGAAGAAAGTAACAAAGAACGTTATTGAAAACGAAAAAATTTCGATTGACAAGTTAGTCGGTATTCTCAACACAGCAATTACAGGACTTGAACAGTGGAACTTTGTAACTGAACAAGAAATTATGTCTGTTTATAGAATTAAAGAGAAAGTATTAGCACAAAAATCAAAGCAACTTAAACAACTTACATTGACAGAAATGTTTACAAGTAAACAAATAAATATTAAGCTTTTTTTTTTTTTTTTCTTTTTTGTAAATTTTGATACTCTTTAGATCATAATTGCTCTTTATTTCATAAATTACAGTTTCATATTTTTAATTGTATAACTTTTGCATGTTATCTTACCAGATTTAAATTGATGATCTATAATCTGCAAAAAACCCTAATCCGGAATCGCCGAAGTCCCGACGAGTCCGGGTTATGGACTTTGTACTGTATAATTGTAATTAATGTAATTCATTTTCAAAATAATAATAATTCACATAATTTACACATATTAAAACAGCTTTTTTTTTTTTGTAAATTTTGATACCCTTTAGATCATAATTGCTTTTTATTTCAGAAATTACGGTTTCATATTTTTAATTGTATAATTTCTGCATGCCATCTTACCAGATTTAAATTGATGATCTATAATCCGGAAAAAACCCTAATCCGGAATCACCGAAGTCCCGATGAGTCTGGATTACGGACTTTGTACTGTATAACTTAATCATGTAAACCAGTCTCTGCTTGGATCAAAAATAGGTACAAGGTACCTTTTAGTTTATGATGCATCAGTTGCGAAATATGTAGCCAAGCAGCAGATGTGGAAGCCTGTTTATATCGTGTCATGAACAGCTCTGTATCAACATCATTACAAATAAGCAGGAAGAAAAAAACAATGAACATCAGTGAAGAAGTTTTCTCTCCTAGATTATTTTCAGCTGCTTTAATAGATGAATTAGTAGCTGCTGTATATTAGATGCTTTAAATTAGCCACAGATACGTTATTAATCCTAATGCAGGAAGCCGTGTGCAAAATGGCAAAATAAACACTAGCACTGCACTGGCTGCTACCATTTAGATTCCTACTTCATTAAATTCATGCGTTGCATGAAAAGTTGAAATAGTTACTTCCTTGTTTGTGGCTACCTCATTTATTCACCAAAGTTGGAAGATTAGTTGCTAAAATTGGTAAACTTGGATTCAAATTAAACTGACTTTTCGAGAATTAATGGAGTTTGCATAAAGCCAAAGCGTTACATCATGCTTTTCCATTATTGGTGCTAAATCACGCTGTTTGATGGCAGTTTTTGTTTAATTCATAGCCCTATTCATGCTTTACAACAGAGTTCCAAATTTCAAATTTTACGCTAACAAAGAAGTTTCCAAAATTCAGAGATATTCCAGTTACTTGAACTTTCTGGTTAGATGAATGTCGATGGTTGGGCTTTTACAGTACTATTATTAAATATTATCATGTATTTTATCAACTGAAAAAAATGATGACATCTTTAATAGTCCCATTATGGAAGGTATTACTGTTTTTAGTATGAAGGGTTGACTGCCGTGGAGGTCACCGGTGACCGGCACTCGCCATGGGTGCCACCGGTGACACGACCAATAGTAAAATACATAATGAGAGTAAATATATCGATACTGATAAATTTTTAAATAGTACCATTGTTACTATAATGGTTTGAAGAATAATAAATCATAAAAATTTTAATTATAAATTGTAATAATGGTTTACAATACCTTGGGGGTCACGGTGACCCCTACCACGAAAAATTTATTAAGCACGGTTATATAACTCGCATTATCTTCTGTAGATAATATTTCAACATAAGATACATTGCATAATAAAAATTTCAAGTTGGCATCGTGGGCAAACCACATAAAATGCGCGCGGCAGTAAATGTGTTAGTGAAACTGCCTTTGTTCTATAATACCCATTAAACCTTTCTTTTTATTAAACTGAGTAGGGTTAACTTAAATGATAGCAAAACTTAAGTGATACAGGGTTAACTTAAATGATAGCAAAGTATTGATGTAATGCCACTTAGCTTTCTTTTTTGTAAGCTAGTTTTAGTGTAAAATTTTCAGTGTAAATGTCATACTTCAGTAATATTTTAATGGTGTTGTTACCTTTATATGTGTGTTTGTGTCCAAGAGAAGGCTTAAATTCAGCCACAGCTTAGTTCTATTACTTTTCAATCTTTGTGTCAAATTGTAATTCCAGTTAGAGCCCTAAAATGAGTTCTGGTATTTTATTATTTAACTTTGTCATTCATTTAACTTGATTAATTTTTGGGGTTTCTTTGTATTTTAATTGATTTTACTCATTATTTATGATTTTATTTGTTTTAATTCCATTTTCCTTTTCTGGCGGCCTTCCATAAAGCTCTGGTCCTCGTAATTTTAAAAATTATGCCCTCCTCTAAGTAAATGCTATAAAATTAAAATAATGGCATCCTAATTATGTTAATTGGTCTTTTACTAGTCTAAATTCATGCATGAAATAAAGCAATAAATTTAAATCTTAAAGCAAATGCTAAAGTAACTGTAGTTGTATTAATGGCCATAAAAGGGAAAAAATACCTTAATTTTTTTTTTAACAATCCATTATTGACCAGATGTAGCTTCAGTAACTGATTTAGTTCATTTACATTTAATTATATTATTAATATCCTTTTCAAATACTCATCTTCTTTTTCTCTAGCTGTAATATGGAAGAAGCAATGAAAAGTGATCTCGTACATCAGATGATTGAAGTCCACTCAAGATTTAAATCTTATTGGGATGAAATTCATACATCAGATTGCAAAAATCTCATTGATTATGTAAAGAAGACTGTATCATATTGGCATGATATATTGAAAGAAAAATTTTCAAGGTTCTTATGTTTTTCTTCTGTTTTTAATTGTTTCATTGATTGGAGTAAAAATTTAAATTGATTTTATCAAAAATACTATAATAAAACTTTGTGTAGGTAGATAAAGAATTTTGTACTTAGCTATCAACTTTCCTTATTGTGTAAAATTTCAGAATATACAACGTATACTTATGTGTGTTTTCTTCTGGCATACTTTCCATCTTAATTTTTTCAGTACTGAATTACAAATGCCTGGTAATACTATACAACGTATGGATGGCTATCTGAGTATAATATATAAGCAAAACTTTATATAAATAGTATTGAAGGTAATAACTATCAAAAATTTCTTTGAAAACAAAATGTAATATTATTGGTACATATAAATAAGCTTTTTAATCCACTAAGCTCTTCCCTTAACTTCTGCTCTCAGAAATGGTATACACCACACAATTTTGCTAATTTTTGTCTTTTGTTTACTAAATTTGTTACTTCACAGTTAATGAGAAACATCAGTGATAAATGTGTGCAAAGCGCCAAATGTGGTGGCTTATTTATTTCACCTAGTGAGTAGCTGTGCAGTAATGTCATTGTGAATAAGCAGGAATAATGCGCATTGATCCTGTACTTTTTCTCCATAATTTTCAGTTTTTTTCCCCCATTTCTTTTTTTAAGGGGGGAGAATTAATATGATTTACATGATTTGGCAGTTTCAAATGATTAACAGCTCTGATTAAATTATTTTAAGACAATGGTATCTGCCATAATGAAAGACTGTTCCAAAAATCAAGGAATAATTTATATTTTACACTAACTGCCAAATTATTGAATTAGTGCTACAATGAAAATGGTTTACAAATGGATGCTAATTAAGTTAAATGCTTGCTTTCCTGCCAGCTCATTATTTTATTTACTTCTGCGGTTAAAAACTTGCATTGGTAGAATGATGTTAACAGCAGTTAAAAATGAATAGAATTGTTTGCTGGAATAATTACATGCATTCTGTATTTGTATTTTTTTAATGTATTTTGGAAGTATTAAAATTCTGTTCTTTTTTTTGAGGTTCTATACATCATTTTGGTTGCCATTCCTCTTTCTAATTAGGTTCTGTGCCAATATTTACATTTGGGCATCAAGTTGGCATAATATTAACCAAAACGTAAAACATTACTTAATTTTCAAGAAGTTAACAAGATTGAGGAACAGTAACATGCTAGTAAATATAGTATTATATAAATGCATGCTAAAACTCTATGGTTACCTAATTACTTTTTTTTAAGTAGTCACCCTAGAAACCTGAAATTCTAGTCTTTTCTCACCATAATTCACTCTGCATAGACAAATATCTTTTTATGTCGGTCTGCATGCCTGATCACCCTAAAAATCAATACTTCTCCCCCCTAAAATCTGTACTGATCTAAATTTGCTTCCCCCCTTACTTTAAAATTTTACATTGGCATGTTTCTCTGCCAGTTAGATAGGTATATTTTTTCTACTAACATGCTATGATTGCATGGCACACAAATGCATCTTTAGAGGGTTACTCTCCTTCCAAGTAGAAAATCTGTAACCATGGAGAGAATGGTATCGGAAAAGGCCCAAAATCACTAAATGTGAAGCCAGGTATAACGCAATATGGGCATGAACGCTTTAAAATAGTTGTCTGAAAAAATTTCTGAACAGAAGTCACCTCATAAGCAGAGGTATTGTCTTAAAGAAAGAGCACTGCTACAAACTTTTGAAGCTTTTTTCCCCCCTTTAATGGAAGAAATTTTGTTTTAAGAGCATCTCCATAGACTGCAGCAATCATTGTAATGCTTTTGAGAGTGCAATAAGTGAGTATAATATCTGTTATTCTGAAACAGAGCTCTGGGAACCACCTGACATTTCTTTGATATGCTTCTTTAAATGTAGCTGTGCCATTTAATTTGGCTTTAAACAGTATTCTTGGCTCATCCTATGACTTTAATGAAATGAAGCTACTCTTTATACTTCAATCATATATCAACATTGCCTATTGGGGGCTATGCTAAAAACCTTATATTCATCCATCAACATTCCCAGAACCATCTGGAGGAAGCTTCCATCAATTTGAAGTCTTGTGTATGATTGATGTGGTGTGCAGTTTCATGTATGATTGATGTTTGTGACATGATTAGAGTAAAAATTTTATTGAGGGACAGATTTCAATGACTCTTTTATTGAATTTTAGGGAATTTTTTAATATTAAATTTTTTTGCAGATATAGAGTATATTGATGAATTTCACATTTGTTTTATTATTTTTTTAATTACTAGATTCCCCCCCCCCTTTTTAAACAAACTTAATGCATCGTTTACTAGGATTTATACAAAAAGTACCTTGAAAAATAATTCTGCTTCAAAATACAAATCTGAAATTTTCTCAAGTTATAACACCTCAGTAGATTTATAGAGTATTTAAAAAGGTTAGTTTCCATAGTTACCTAAAAGAATTATTTTTTGTTTTCAATGCTAACAAATGTTTTCAGTGTAAAATAACTTTTTTTTCTAAATTTGAAAAAATAACAGTTAGTGAAGAAAATTCTTATGTGTATGTGATTTAATTAATCAAGATTTAATTAGAGTATTGATCATAAATGAGTTAAATTAAGTACAGTGAGTTGTTTTTCATATTTGTTTCATCTCGAAGCTGAAATAAATATGCCATATATTTTGAGAAGTATATATAAACATTAGCATTGGTCACCAATTTAAGACCTTTACAAAAAGTAAAATTATCTGACATTCAGAGAAGGCTCATTGTATATATATGGACAAATTATATATATATAAATTAAAATTATAATCTTAATTGTAATCATTCCTTACAATTTCAATTTAGTTATTTTCCCTTTCTACCCTAAAAATAATAGCTGCTTGTAATAAATTCCATCATTTCAAAATTATTCTCTCTCATGTGATACTTACATAAGACTTCGCAAACGATAGTGTCAGTTTTGAAAATTGAAACTTAAAATTAACCATTCATAAGGAAGCTGAATCAAAACCACTTAATTCTGAATAAATTTTTTCTTGGACATGTTGCATTCATTTTCCTTTTCCACAGCATCCAAACTTACTGTCTGCTGCAGCACTTTCCTTCTTTAGATATTAAAAAAGTCAAAAGCTCTCTGAAGAATGGGTGTGTAGATTGTGATATTTATTCTCTGAAATTCATGTTTAGAATTTGCTTATCAAGAATATAGAAATGTTAAATCAGCTGCTATGACCAACATCTTTTACACATCAAGATCCATCACTCCATAACTGTATTCTCTGCTGCATCATCGACTTCTGAATCATTACACACGCTAGTGGGTATATATATGCTTATGTCATCTCTTGTTAATAAAAAAATTTTGATCTCATGTAAAGGCACAAATTATATTTTCAGAATTTGTTTAAAAAATGCATAACATTATTTATTAGTTACATATTATCTGTTTCTGTTATTGCTATACAACTAGAGAATTTTTGGGGGAGAGAGGCTATGCAGATCCTCAACAGCAATGAAACTTTTGCAAAGTTTCGTATTTATCCCATGACTGCTTTGCGAATTTTGTCATCTTTTTTTAGCGATAACATTACTGATCTAAACATGGTAAATCGGAAGAAGTCACAATCATGTGTTCCGCTTTCACAGTTATGCAATTGATTAGCTATTGCATTGGTAAAGCTGCTTTGCTTTCACTTAGTGTTCAACATTCCTTGAATTAATCAGTAAATACATATTTTTCACATCTGTTATAAGGTATTTCTCCCATTTCCCTAGCGTCCTTCGTAGTGTAGTGGTTCTGCACGCTGGGCCGGTATTCCAGAGGTCTGTGGTTCGATTCCTGGCGAGGTGGTTGCATATTTTTCATCTTTTCTGCTTCCAAAAATCCTAATGACTCTACAAGTGGCGCCCGAACTAAAAGGGTTGTGGATGATGATTCTCCGCACCCAGTTTTTGGTGACTAGGTCCCCTAAAATCCTAGTCGCCCTTTAAAAAGGGGAGTATATAAGGTATTTCTCCCACTTCCCTAGTGTGCCTTCGTGGTGTAGTAGTTCTGCACACTGAGCCGGTATTTCAGAGGTCCGTGGTTCAATTCCCGGTGAAGGCGGTTGCATATTTTTCATCGTTTTTGCTTCCAATTAACCTAATGACTGTACACTGTAACAAAGAAATGTATTTTAAGAATGAAGGCTATGCCAAAGTAGAGTGGCTGCCTCCGACCACTGAGGAAAACGTGGCAAATCCATCGAGCATTTTATTATTTTGCACATGCATGTAATAGCTTTTGAGCAGTGCTGAAGGTTGCCTTTATCAAGAACTCAAAGTTCTGTGACACCATTCCCCCCCCCCACTGTATTGATATAAATCAAATTAGTGATCTGCACGAGTAGATTAATTGATGGTTATTTATTTTGAATAACAATACATTTGGTGGTCGTGTGCTTAATGCATGATATAATTAAAGAAAATAAGAGTAGACAACCTCCTATAACAAAAGAATATATTAAGTACTAAATTACAATTTAAATTACATTGCAGAGATCAACACAGAGCTCGGAACACAGTTCATGCTACCGTCGCGTACAGTTGTCTCACGAGAAGCCTGAGTGAGTAATGACGTTGCTTTGCTGCTCCGATTAAGAACTGGATTTTACACGTGGCGCCATCTCATGAATAGAAGTTGAAGTATCTTTCGGAACGCCACAGTACTCCCCCCCAAGTACCATCGGTACGTTATAAGTACTTTGGGTTAAATTTAACCTTTCTTCCAGATCTGGTAGTTTTAGGTTGCTCTTGAACGGGATGTAAGCTTTCTTCCGGAAGTGACGTTGATGAGGAAGTTGTTGGATCTTGCATTAGAAATGCTGGTTTGAGATGATCAATTCCAATCTGATTGTTTGCCATTGCAGATGAGGGTGAAATGTTTCGGTGTTTGTTTGACAACTTTGAATGGACCATCATATGAAGGTGTTAAAGTTGGCTTAATTGAATCGTTGCACACGAAT